TATTCTACATTTCCTTTTTACATAAATGCCTGATATTCTGAGATTAATATATAAATTATATTGCATACCAGTTACACACACACACACACACACACACACACACACACATGGATTTCAATTATATATCTGGAAACAATGCTTTGCTGAATTAGATAATAGTTTTACAGATTCTTTACAGCCATGGAGTGAAGAGGATTGAAGTTAATTATTGGGCTAAGATACAGTTTGTAGAAGTAGCATAGCACCTTAGAACATAAAACCTATAGTCTTTATTTATATATTGACTCATTCATTCATTAAGCAAATATTTATTGAGCATCTATTCCTTACAAAACCCACAGATCCTTCAGGATCCCTATTCATTCATTCAATCAATATTCTGTCAACCATGTGCCAGAAAAAAATGTTAGGCACTTTGATGCATGAAACAAAAATTATCCCTGTTTTCATGTAAGATACAGACTAATGAGGACAGTAGATACTAAAAGTAACACAAATTGATCATTTACAATTATATAGGTTCTACAAGTGTGAAGTACAAAGTGCAATAAGAATGATTCACAGAAAGACCTGACCTAGTCCAAGTGTCTGAGCAGGTTGCATTGAGGAAATGATATATAATACCTGCCCCCCCCAAAAAAAAACAAAAAAATGAGTAAGAATTAAAAAAATAAGATGGGTAGACTTGATTCTGTGTTGGTTGCATAATAAAGGAAGTAATCAGAACCACCCCTCAGTGATATTTCACATATGTATCACAAAACATCAATGTTAGGAATTCCAAAATGGTCCATAGCAGATGCCAGCACTCACCTCCTTTTCCACAAAGAAAAATCAGAGAAAGATCTGCATAGTTGTATTTTGAGGTGAGTTACTGCAGGAGAATGCTGGAACCCAGAAAGACAAATTGGAACATTGTAAGATTCTGAGACCTGCAATGACAGCATAGAAAGAGAAAGCACCTTGACAAATACAATACTGGCTCCCCGGCTGGAGGAGGAGATTACTCTACTTTGCAGGGGAAAGATTGAATGAGAGAGTCCCAGCAAACTCCATCACTATGGACATTGACAATCCTAACTACAAAAAGTTTCACAATGGTCACAATTTTACAGACCAATTAGGGAACAACCTGAAATCTGCACCATACTTTTGTTTTTAAAAAGGAATTCACATTGTCCCCCAACTAACCCGAGAATAGACTGCTATGGCTGACACCATCTTGAAAGGGAGCTATTATTTTAATTCATACTAATTTAAAGGGCAGAAACGCCTGCATATTTGCATCTCTGGGATCTTATATACACCATACAACACTGCTAAGGGGAAATGCATCCTCATTGACCCAACTTGTCCAAGGAAAGAGGCTGTAACCCTAGCATCCAAACCCACTAAGTGTCCTGTACTTCAGGATTGAGGTATTTTAGCACAAAGGGGAAGAGAGAGCACCACCCATGAGAACAGAGACCAGAGCACTTATCCTCAGGGGAAAAGAGGGTGGTCAACCATGCATGGACATTAACCAATGCCAGAAAAGATGGCAGGAACTTGTAGCCCTCACTAGCCACATCTTTCCTATACCATGTGCAGCATGTTCCTTTCCTTTGAGGGCTAGAGCCTGATATTAAGTGTCCTGCCACCACAGCCCCACCTTGGTGCCACATCTGGGCATGTGCTTATCTGCCTTTGGGGCTAAGAATGCACCAGATATGCAAATCTCAACACAGAAATATAAGAAACAGGGAAAATAAAGTCATATGACACCTCTACAACACAATAACTCAATAGATAACATGATACAACACAAGAACTCAAAAATTATATTAAAAAGATGCCTGATAAATTTCAAAAGAATATTACAATGAAGCCAAATGATATTCAAGAGAACACTAACAGTTTAACTAAAATGAGTCATAATATGAATAAGATATTCATGAAAGAGATGGAGATCTTGAAAAAGAACCAAACAAAAATCTTGGAAATACAGAGCTTCATAAGACAAATTTTAAAAATACAATTGGAAGCCTCAATGATAGACCAGATGAAACAGAGGAAAGAATATCTAAACTTTAAGCTTTAAGACAGATCATTTGAAATACCCAAGTCAGACAAATATAAAAAGAAAGAAGAATGAAGAGAGCCTTCACAGTTTGGAGTGAACCATTAAAGGTTTTTGTGGTACTTGAAGGAAAAGATAAAGGGGAAGGCATAGAAACCTATTCAAAGAAGTAATAGGTAAAAACTTCCCAAATCTTGGGCTGGGGATGTGGCTCAAGCAGACCCATGGAACCTCAAAGAGACATAGTGTGACCAGAAAAGATCCTTAACCCAACATAGTAGAATCAAAGATAAAAGAAAAAGAGAAGTTTCTGAAACCTGCAAGAAAAAAGAACTAAGTCACATTTAAGGGAACCACCATTGTACTACAAGCAGATTTCTCTGTGGAAACATAACTGGCTAGAAATAAATGGAATGATATGTTACAAATTTTGAAAAAATAAATAACTTTAAATCAGAACTACTATATCCTGAAAATGTATCTTTCACAAATGGAGAAAAATATTTTGCAAGTTAGGCAAAAGTGGAGGGAATTATCACCAGATAGGCTAAACAAAAGATGATTAGGCCATGTAGAAGACAAATTTCCAGGCCTCAAATATAGGGTATATGATCTTGAAAACATACTCAGCAATAAAGAAAACATAATAAGAAACCATAGCCAGAATATTCAGGAAGACTGGGACATTATAAGAACAAACCTAAGAATTATCAGCATTAGGGTGCATATCAAGATACAAGCTAAGGGCATGCTAAACTTTTCAGGGAAATAATGTCAGAAAAATCTTCAACCTTGGGAATGAAAATCAGATATATGAGATATTCAGAAGTCCAAATAGATAAGATCCTTTCAAGACACATTATAATTAAACTATCTAGTATACAGAATAAAGATAAAACTTTAAAAGCATCAAGAGAAAAATGGAAGGTTATATTTAGGGGTAAGTCAATAAGTATGACCTCTGATTTTTCTACATAAACTCTTAAACTAGGAGGGCTTAGAACTATGTATACCAAACCCTGAAAGAAAATAATTTCCAACCAATATTGTTATATCCAACAAAGTTTTCGTTCAGAATTAAAGAACCAAAAACATTTCCAAGGTAAGCATAAACTAAAAGAATTCATGGCTACAAAGCTAGTAAAAACTTTGTAACTTCTAGAAGAAAAGACATACTTAACAGTCTAACATATTGGTGTAGGCACCAACTTCATAAACAAGACCCCTGAAACTCAAGACGTAAAACCAAGAATCCATAAATGGTATGACATCAAATCTAAAAGCTTCTGCACAACAATGGAAACATGAGCATGAAGAGTAGCTACATACGGAATGGGAGAAAAATTTTGCCAGCTACTCTTCAACAGGAAATTAATATCCAAAGAATATAAAGAACCCAAGAAACTTAACATTGAAGCAAAATCCAATCCATAAATGTGTAAATGATGTAAATAGATATATTTCAGAAGAAGAAATGCAAATGGCCAAGAAATACATGAAAAAATGTTCAGCATCTCTAGCAATCAGGAAAATACAAATCAAAACTATACTGAAATTTTATCTCTCTCTGGTTAGAATGGCAACCATAAAGAATACAAATAACAACGATTGCTAGTGATGATGTTGAGTACAGGTACACTGAAACATTTATGTTTGGAATGAATATAAATTAGGACAACCACTTTGGAAATCAGTATGGAGATTTCTCAAAAGACTAGAAATTGGCCAGTTGTAGTGGTGCAGGCCTGTAATCCCAATGGCTGGGAGGCTGAGACAGGAGGATCATAAGTTCAAAGTCAGCGTCAGCAAAGCCAAGGCACTAAGCAACTCAGTGAGACTCTGTCTCTAAATAAAACACAAAAAAGGGTTGGGGATGTGGATCAGTGGTTGAGTTCCCCTGAGTTCAATCCCCAATACCAAAAAAAAAAAAAAGACTAGGAATTGAACTAACAAATGATCCACCTATTTCATTCCTTGGTACTTTCTAAAAAGAACTAAAATCATCATACTATAGTGATACATGTATACCAATATTTATAGCAGCACAATTCATGATACCCAAATTGTGGAACCAGCTTAGATGCCTGTCAATAGAAGAATGGATAAAGAAAATGTGGTATATATACACAATGAAATTTTATTCAGTCATAAAGAAGAATAAACTTATATCATTTCCTGGTAAATGTATGAAAGAAGAGAACATCATGCTATGTGAAATAAGCCAGACTCAGGAAGTCAAGTGTCAAATATTTTCTCTCATATGTGGAAGTTAGAGAGAAAAAGACAAAATTAAAATTAAAAAATGGATCTCATATTTCATGAGAACAACAGAACATGAGAAGGGGAGGTCATGAGAAGCACTGAGGAATAAAATCCACCAAATTATGCTAGGTTCATGTGTGAATACACCACAATGAATCCTGTGTGTGTGTGTGTGTGTGTGTGTGTGTGTATAAATATATATTATATAATTAGCAAAATTTATATGAATTAAAATGGAGATCAATAAACTACTACAAGTGGATCAAGGGGATGGGGATGGGTGATAAAGAGAAGGTACTTGGAAATGAGAATGATAAAATTATATTATGTGCATATGCAAATAAGGCACATGTGCCAGTATTATGTATAACTATACTGCACAAATAAAACTAATAAAAAACCAATAGCTCAATAGGTTCTGTGTATACCAACAATTAATATGCTGAAAAATATATCTGAAAAACAATTACATTCACAATAGCTTCAAAAAGTTAAAATACTTAGAGATGAGTCTATCCAAGGAGGTGAAATACCTCTACAATTAAAATTATAGAATTTTTATGAAAGAAACTGAAGAGGTCTCACTCGCTGCCGCCGGCGGGTGCTCCGCGTTCTGTCGCTGCTCAGCCGTCCGTTCTCCGCCGATCGCCAGGGAAGAGGAAATCGCCCGGCTGCTCATTGACAATGGGTCCGGCATGTGCAAAGCTGGCTTTGCCGGCGACGACTCCCCCAGGGCCGTGTTCCCCTCCATTATGGGGGGCCCATCGAGCATGGCATCGTCACCAACTGGGATGACATGGAGAAGATCTGGCACCATACCTTCTACAATGAGCTGCGCGTGGCCCCCGAGGAGCACCCGGTGCTGCTGACGGAGGCCCCCCTGAACCCCAAGGCCAACAGAGAGATGACTCAGATCATGTTCGAGACCTTCAACACATCGGCCATGTATGTGGCCATCCAGGCTGTGCTGTCCCTGTACGCCTCTGGACGCACCACTGGTATTGTCATGGACTCTGGTGACGGGGTCACCCACACGGTACCCATCTATGAGGGCTACGCCCTTCCCCACGCCATCCTGCGTCTGGACCTGGCTGGCTGGGACCTGACAGACTACCTCATGAAGATCCTGACAGAGCGCGGCTACAGCTTTACCACCATGGCCGAGCGGGAGATCATGCGCGACATCAAGGAGAAGCTGTGCTACGTTGCCCCGGACCTCGAGCAGGAGATGGCCACTGCTGCATCCTCCTCCTCCCTGGATTAGAGCTACGAGCTACCCGATGGGCAGGTGATCACCATCGGCAACGAGTGGTTCCGGTGTCCAGAGTCACTCTTCCAGCCCTCTTTCCTGGATATGGAATCTTCCAGCATCCACGAGACCACCTTCAACTCCATCATGAAGTGTGATGTCGACATCCGCAAAGACCTCTATGCCAACACGGTGCTGTCGGGCGGCACCACCATGTACCCAGGCATCGCTGACAGGATGCAGAAAGAGATCACAGCCCTGGCCCCCAGCACCATGAAGATCAAGATCATCGCGCCCCCCTGAGCGCAAGTACTCTGTGTTGATCGGTGGCTCCATCCTGGCCTCACTGTCCACCTTCCAGCAGATGTGGATCAGCAAGCAGGAGTACGACGAGTCGGGCCCCTCCATTGTCCACCGCAAATGCTTCTAGATGGACTGAGCAGGTGCCAGGCACCTGCTGCATGAGCTGAATCTGAAATATAAATTTTCTCTGGCAAATGTATACACCTCATGCTAGCCTCATGAAACTGGAATAAGCCTTTGAAAAGAAATTGTCCTTGAAGCTTGTATCTGATGTCAGCACTGGAACGTAGAACTCGTTGCTGATTTTGACCTTGTATTCAAGTTAACTGTTCCCTTGGTATATGTTTAATGCCCTGTGCATATCTTTGATTTAAGCCTTTAGTCCATGTGGCTCGGTCACCTGGTACCTGAGGTGAGAGCGTGCATGAAGGAGAAGTCCGTGGCTTAGGGAATCTGAGACCACAGCAGTGATCTGTGCAGGGTATTCATGTGTCAGCTGACAGACTTCCAGGATTGCTCCGGCTGGCAAGAGTTCCTGGGCCAGCTGTCACTTCTTGCAGGTTTAACAGGGTAGGAAAGTCCAAGCCTTAGGACCCAGTTTCCGTTCTTACCAATGTTCTCCCGCCTGACCACCATTGGTTATTACTTGCCTTGAGTTGGAAACGGTTTGCATTTACATCTGTAAATTTATTCATTTTAATTTATGTACGGTTTTTTTGTACTCAATTCTTTACCAGATGACAAAACTTTTGGTTTTCTACTGTTATGTGAGAACATTAGGCCCCAGCAACACTTAATTGAGTAAGGAAAAATAAAGTGCTACAGTACACTGAGAAAAAAAAAAAAGAAACTGAAGATATTTCAAGGTAGAAAAACCTCTCATGTTCATGGATGTGCATGACTGATATTGTTAAAATGGTCATATTATAAAAAGTGATCTACAGACTCTATGAAATCCCCATCAAAATACCAGTGATACTCTTTACAGAACTAGAAAAAATTCCTATAATTTACATGGAAGAATACAAGACCCAGAATAGCCAAAACAATTCTGAGCACAAAGATCAATTATGTAGACATAGCAATACCAAATTACAAATTATACTACAGAGCCATAGTACCTAAGCCAATGTGGTGCTGGCATGAAAACAGACACATAGATCAATGGAACAGAATAGAATACACAAGAACAAACCAACATAGCTATAGTCATCTGATTATTGACAAAGGGGCCAAAAATATACAATTAGAGAAAAGACAGCTTCTTTAACAAGTGGTGCTAGCAAAACTGGATATCCATATGGGAAGAAATGAAACTAGATCCTTATCTCTCTTTCTATACAAATGTCAATTCAAATTGAGTTGACTCTGGTCCTTTCTATAAGACCAGAAAATTTCCAACTCTTAGAAAGAGAAATAGGGGAAACATTTCAACATATAAGGCACAGGAAGACACTTCCCAATCAGAGCCCTATAGTTGATGAAATAAGACAGAATCAATAAAAAGGAATTGCAGCAAATGAAAAACTTCTGTATGGCAAAGGAAATAACACAGTAGTGACAACCAACAGTATGGGAGAAAATCTTTAACAGTTATTCCTCTATTAAAGGACTAATATCCAGAATATATAAAGAATTCCAAAAGTCAATATTAAAAATCAAGAAGCCAAATAAATAAATAGAAAACAAGAACAGAAAAGACACTTCTCAAAAGAAGTACAAATGGCCAATATTTATTTGAAAAATCAAGGAAATGCAAATTAAAACTACACTGAGACTGCATCTCACTTCAGTTAGAATGGCAAGTATCAAGAATGAATATAATAATTGCTGAATAAGGACAAAAAGGAATACTTACACACTAGTGGTAGGAATGTACATTAGTATAGCCTCTATGGAGGTTCCTCAATAAGCTAAAAATAGATCTACAATATAATCTAGCTATACCAATGTATTTATCCAAAAGAATTATTTTATAGATACATGCTTACCCATGTTTATTGCCACACAATCATACCAGCCGAATTATGGAATAAATCTGGCTGTCTGTAAACACCTTTAATTGCACCTAATCATAGAATTTTAGAGTTGCAAATTTAGATATGAGGTGTCTCCCAAAGCTCATGTGTGAGACAATGAAAAAATGTTCAGAGGTAAAATGATTAGATTATAAGACCTTTAACATAATCAGTGGATTAATCCACTGATATGGTTAACTGTGTGATAGCCATGGGCAGATGGGGTGTGTTGAAGGAAATAGGTCACTGGGGGCCTTTCTTTGGGGTTTATATTTTGTACTTGGCAAGCAGATCTCAATCTCTCTCTCTCTCTCTCTCTCTCTCTCTCTCTCTCCCTCTCTCTCTCTCTGTGTATGTGTGTGTGTGTGTGTGTGTGTCCTTCCCTTCCTCCCTCCCTCCTTCCTGGTTGTCACTTCCTGAGCTGCTTTCCTCTGCCATGCCCTTCTGCTGTGATATTGTCTCACCTTAGGATCCGAGAGATGGCACTGGCTGACCATGGTCTGAACCTCTGAAACCTTGAACCAAAATAAACTTTTCTTCCTCTACATTGTTTTTTTTTTGTTTTGTTTTGTTTTTTGTTTTTGCAGTAACTGAAAACTTTATTTTTTATTTGTTCTTTTCAGATATACATGATAGCAGAGTGTATTTTGACATACTATACATACATGGAGTATAACTTATTCTAATTCAGATCCCATTTTTATGGTTGTACATACCGTGAGTCTCACTGGTCATGTATTTATATGAACATGGGAAAGTTATATCCAATTCATTCTACTGTCTTACCTATGTCCATTCCCTCTCCCTTCCCTTCATTCCCCTTTGTCCAATCCAATGAACTTCTATTCTTCCCTCTCCCTCCCCCTTATGTGTTACTATCAGAGAGAACATTTGGCCTTTGGTTTTGGAGGATTGGCTTATTTCACTTAGCATGATAGTCTTCAGTTCCATCCATTTACCAGCAAATGCCATAATTTCCTTCTTCTTTATGTCTGAAAAAATATTCCATTGTCTACATTATTCTGGTCAGGCATACTGGTCACAGTGAGGCAAAAGTGGACTAAAATAGTAAGAATCTAATCTTACATTCAAAATATAAATCCTCTCTATTACAGACATAACAAGTAATTTATTTTTTTGCTTTTTCAAAATAGTTCTAGACTAGTTTGAATAATTTTGAGTCAGTCTATTGCAATGATCTCTAGCTCACCAGGGAGTATCAATGGATTCAAAAGCATCTCTGTGCACTTATGGAAGAGCATATTCAAACAGAAAACTAAAATATAGAAATATTTGGGTATGGGAGACAAAATTGGAAACAAAATTACATAAATAATTTTTGTCCCATTCTCTCATATCTGATACCAAAGAAAGAGATTCTTACAGCCTAAGTGTCTTTCTTCAGACTAAATGTATCAGCTTATAGACATGGACCCTCTAGTTTTAGGCTTTGGTCAATGCTGCAACAATATCTTATTCCCCTCCCCACCTCAATTTAAGGAACTTGACTTTTTATAAAGGAAGTAATGAGGAAGCTAAGCTCAGTCTCATCACAGCATCTAAAACAAAACATAATTTTTAAAGTTAAATTAAATTTAACAGATACATAAAATTGTACATATTTATGGTATAACGTGACATTTTGATATATGTGTATGTTGTGTAATGTTTAAATCAGGTTAAATATATCTGTCATTTCTCTATGGCAAAAACTTTCAAGATGCTGTCTTACAGTTTTTTTTGAGATGTGTAGTTCATTCTTTTCTGCCATGCAATAGCACACCAGAACATTTTGCTCCTATCCAACTGTAACTTAGTACCCACTGATCAATCTTTCTCCATCTCTCTCCCCACACTCTTCCTGCCTCTGGTTACCACCATTCTATTCTCAACTTCTATAAGATCAACTTTTTTAGATTCCACAATGTCATACAATTACTTGTCTTTCTGTATCTGACTGAATTCACTTAATGATCTCGAGTTCCATCCATATTGTCACAAATGACAGGATTTTGTTCTTTTTTATGCCTGAATTACATCCCATTTTCTGTCTATCTTATCTAAGGATTTTTTTTACCATTTCTTGGCTATTGTGAATTTGCACTCCCATGTTTACTGCAGCACTATGCACAAAATATGCTTTTAAGCAGCTCTATTCCCTAGCTGATATTTGAAGAATTCCTCCATACTCCACCTCTATTCATCAGAAAGAGAACCAGATTTTGATTCATCCTTTCTTCCCACTCCTGTTATATTAGAAGTGAGGCACAAGCTGAGCACTGTGGTGCACACCTGTAATCCCAGTGACTTGAGAGTGTAAAGCAGGAGGATTGCAAATTCAAGCCAGCCTCAGCAACTTAGAAAGACCTCAGCAATGTAGCAAGATCCTGTCTCAAAATAAAAAATAAAAAAGGACTAGGGATGTAACTCAGTGATAAAACACCCCTGAGTTCAATTCCCAGTATAAAAAAAAAGTGAAGCACAAAGGGCTGGAGGTGTAGTTCAGTGATAAAACTACATTTTTCATATGCATAAAGCCCTGGGTTCAATTCTCAGTATCAAAACTATGGGAACATTTATTCCTAAGAAGCAATAAAAGGAACAAAAATCTAATTTCCATTAGCTACTTTGCTTTATCTTGCTAATGCAAACATAATATGAGTTGGCCTCTTTTCCTACTCCTGTGTCGGTATCGCCCTGTGTAATATTGAACAAGTTACTCTCCATGCTTTAATTTTCTCATCTGTTAAATTAGAATAGTTATAGTAAATATTATTATAGGATTGTTATAAATTAGAAGAGTTCATGCCAAACACTTGATGCCTTACACTTAGTGAATGATCATAATATGCCATCAGTATTCCCCAAGTTGATGAGTTTTAATGATGTTCTGTGTAAAAAAATTCTGTGATTTGCTCATTTTCAACATCCAAGTTCAAATAATTATTTAAAAACGCTCCCAAACAACTAACAATGAACAATCTGAAAAGGTGGCCCTCAACAGAAATTAAGAAAACAAATCAGTTTATGAGAGGATAGGAAATAATAATATATTAAGGAATAAATCTAATCTAGAAAGTGAAAGATGTACACATTAAAAACTAAAAAATTAAAGATACAAATAAATAGAAAGACAATTACATTCATAGATTGGAAAACTTATAATTGTCATGATGTCAGTACATACAAAGCAATTCAATGCAATCTTTAATAAAACCCCAATGGCATTTTTCCTACAGATATAGAATAATTCATCATAAAACTCATACAGAATCTCAAGTGACCCTGAATACCAAAAATAATTTTAAAAAAGAACTAATTGGAAGGCCTCACATTCCCTGATTTCAAAATTTAATGAGTTAAAGTAACCAAAACACTGTGGTACTGACATAAAGACAGTCAAATAG